AAAAAAAATAACCCCCACAAGGAAAAAGCTTTAAAAACCTTATTTGTGGGCAAAGTCTGCAAAACCTTAAATTATTTTTGACAGTTCTAGACATAGGATAGTCTAGACATGCAGTTTTTGACCACAAATGGAGTTCATTTAGCTAACGCTTGAAAATAACAGGACTTCATTTTAAAAGGAGTCATCAGTCTTCTGCTTTATGTTGTAGAACTGAACCCATAAAGAGCAGCATACCTCAGAACAAGCAGCCAGCTAACCACAGCCTGTTCACCAAACAAATCTACTAGAGATCACAGTCCAGTGATTATGTCACTTATTACTAAGCGAGTCATATCCCCACTTTTACTGTTACACCAAAACTTAGGGTTGCACCACCTGCCAAATCACATTTTAACCCCTGTTTGTCACCAATGTCCAATTATTGGATATTCGGATCCCTACTTTAGATATCAATATCAAATAAATACCCATGAATCTGTTTAAAATTATTTTTTAAAAGTATTTGTATTACGACGGGAAAAGTTGCCAGAAGATCATCACATTTGAGGTTTTCTTCACAGTTAAAAAGGTCCAGGGATAGTTGTCTGTACATTAGCCATTATTGGCTAATGGCTAATTCCATATATAGTGTGAAATATGGCACCTTCAAACCACAGGTTTAACATAAATAAACACCAAAAAAAAAAGCATGTGAAATCCAAAGTCAGAAAATCATAGCTTAAAAAAAATATCAGAAACTTGTATTTGGCCGTATTGCCAAATACAAATCCAACCTTCCCAAATGCACATGTAGATACAACATATGAGGAGAAGCTGGCATGAAGGTGGGTTGCAAAGAAGCTTGCAGATGCACGGCCACTGTGGTCAAGCCAAAGCGACTAATGTGCCATATATGAGATTTTCCAGTTGGTTTAATATTAGAGGGTTCTCTAGGCCAGTTTCTAGTTTAGTTTCTGAGGCCACATTAAGAAACACTTTCAAATATACTTTTTCAAATGCACCTCTTGTCTACATGAAGTTTTAATGGTTTAAGAAATCTGCTTCTTTAATTGCCTGGTAAACAAAAGTGCCCCCAAGGTGCCTTACTTTTAATCTAGCAGGAGCCAATTGACCTGAGTAAGCAGCCCTAGCTGGATAATAATGTACATTTCTAGCAGAGTGTAGCAGAGGCTCTCTCTCTCTGTCTGTCTGTCTGTCTGTCTCTCTCTCTTTCTTTATGCTTAATTACATTGTAAAAAAAAAAAAAAACCCAGAAGGCTTTATTTCAGCATTTTCCTTTCTATTAACCAAGAGAGACGTGTTTGCATTTGCACCACATCAGACCTAACCAGGAAAATTGGACTTTGCCACTAGAAATCTAAACTTGATAAAGCGTGCACCCTGGGAATATTCACTAACAAGAAGAAAGGAAGTATTGCTAAGCCTATTATTTTAAGTGGAAATATATATATATAAATATATATATATATATATATGGAAATGTCACCCTTTTCATGCCAAAGAATTCACAAGTGGGTGGGTACTGGCATATCGGGGGAAAAAACAAATACAAAATGTACACTTCTGCCTTTCTGATCTTTGTGCTTCTGCAGAAGAAGGATGTACGCATGCTGAGGTTCATCCAGGAAGTGAACACCACCACACGCTCCTGTGCATTGTGGGATCTGGATGAGGACACCGAGTACATCGTCCACGTTCAGAGCATTAGCATGGGAGGAAGCAGCCCTCCAAGTCAGCCTGTGCTATTCAGAACGCCAAAAGAGTCCGAGAAGATGGCTTCCAAAAGCCCTGGTGAGAGAGAGAGTAATACTTTTTTAAAAATTTCAGAATCTAGATATTTTAAAGTCTAACCCTGGGTGAAAACCTTACCACTGCCTTGTCCCCAATTTTCTCTTTGCTTGCGTAAAGTTTCCCAAATTTTTCTCGTAGTTTCTCATTCGAATCTGTCCCTTTGAAATGCTGTATTCTTCAGACGTTTCTCAGCCAGACATAACCTTCGTATGCGTGCTTTACTTCCACAGCACACGCTACAAACACACTCGTACAAATCGATAATTTTAATTCTGTGCATGCTGGGCTCGCAAATCTATAAAAGCACGCTGAAAAAGCAATCGTGCATCAACATAAGGACACTCGAAGGTAGGAAACCAACATTCTGCTAGCCTGTCCTTCCCCTGCTGACGAACATAGATCTAAATCTGCCCGTTCACAGGTAGGAGCACTTAAATAGCAGCTTTTAAACACAGACAATAACCTGGAGGGCTAATCTTCTCTTAATGTTTCATCGTCACAAAAATAGTCTCTTTTTTGACAGTTAAATCCAACAAAACACAGGAATTGCCATCTTTGCTAGAGTCCCTCCCACCTCCTATTCGATGCATTGTTCTCACTCTCAAGTGGTCTGTTATCAGAAGCGCCTTGCACTGCTTCCAATTTTATCATGTCCGACCCAGTTACTGTGCCAAAAGCAGCTGCTTCAGAGGGACACGGCGAATGCTAAATGCTCATCAGCAGCAAAGTGATAAGAGTGGAAACAGGAGACATTAGGGAGCGGTGGATTCCCTGGAAACACCACAGTGAGGGAGCTTGCTGAGGGCCTTGTGAGGCAGGAATGTGTTGATAAGTGGTCTAGAGTATAAAAAATCAAAGAGAAATCTATCTGAACTTATGTAAGCAGTAAAAAAGCAACATATTAGTACATTTTTCACTAGCGCAGACAAAGAGTCATTTTTAAGCCAGCTGATTGTTATATGATTGTTAACATTTAATTTCTTGCTGTTTAACGGCAGCAACAGGGGCAAACTTGAAATTCTTGGTGATTGATGACACAGTAGGTTCTTAATTTCAAGATATGTATGCGGGTAGACGTGGGCAGATTTATCAGCTCTGCGACCACCCATTTTCTGTGGGCAGATTTTGTCCCCTGTAGCTAGGCAGGTAATTAAGTTAAGCTGTGTGAGCTGGCTGCGTCCAGCTGACTATATAATGCTTCCAGCTGACTTCATTTTAAATCGAGACTCATGCAAAAAAGGGTCTCACATACTTTATGGACTTCATGAGCAACTGCATGTCCCTGAATAAACAAAAAGTTATTTTTATCACATGACGTTGCACTTAAATGATATGGAAATGATACTTTTGGCTATTTAATAATATCCTGTATATAAGAGATGGACATCGTAACATCACCCATTGGTGTATGGACTCTTTCTTTTTTAGACTCAAGTCATTTTTGAATTCTTGGCCTTTTTTTGAGCTGCAAGTGACCAAAGTTTAAAGACAGGCTGTGCAGCCTTAGTTAGTTATTAGGTAACAATATCTAACGAGCAAAGTGTCCTGTGATTAGATATTCGCTAATTCTTGTTAACTACAGCTGGGCGATATAAGATTTTTCATATCAC